GGGCTGGACTTAATGTAAGCCATGAAGACAAAAGTGGAGATTCTAGGTTTGTTTTGAGGACCTCTGCTGTCGTCTGAGTCTGATTCGTCTTCACTGTCCTTTGTAGCGTCTGTATCATCTGAGCTTCGTCTGCATCGTCTTTGTGCTTCGTTGACTTTCTGTGGTCACTGCTCGACTGTCTTTGCTTTTCGATTACGGATTATCTTCTTCTGCCTCATTGGAGCTGTGGCTGGATTTTCTAACAACAACAAAAAAAGGTAAACAATCCAAATCAGTATCAGAATCAATATCACGTGATGTCGATGAAATGATGTTTGGACTATGATGATAGCTTTTGTGTTCACACCTTGATCGGAGAATACTTGTAGAGCCTGCAGAGCGTCCTCATAATTCCAGTCGTGTTCCTGTAGCACCATGCGCAGCTCCTACAACAAGCCACAAAGAATGTTTAATGCTTCAAGTAGCTGTAGATGACAGACAAGTCGTCCATTTTGCTGTGAAATCCCTTAACATGTGACTTGGGCAAAAAAATAAAAAAAACAACGGCCAAATGCCAAAGGCAGGGGTGATTGACAGGTAGATCGCTGACTGATTCTCAGTCGATCTCGAGATGTTTAGTCAATATAAAATACAATTGTAAAATAGAAAAGTGATTTCCATTTCATCTCATTGCAGTGTTTCCCACACAGAGACAATACCTGGGTGGGAGCCCAAGTATACTTCCAACCTGTTTGTATTTAATTTTTCATTTATTCATGAAATTGCTGCGTCCATATGAGAGAGAGAGAGAGAGAGAGAGAGAGAGAGAGAGAGAGAGAGAGAGAGAGAGAAGAGAGAGAGAGAGCTGTTTACCACTCAGTCCTCCAACATCACCATCTTTGTCATCATCTTCATCATCATCAAAGTACTCAGGTCTTCTCTTTTAACGTTCTTCTTAACGTAATGTGCTGGATGATTGATCTACTTATTTCTTTGAATTAACTTTATCAAGTCTTGTATAATATCAGTTTTCTCTTTTGTTTTTAAATACAAAACTGTACAAAGAAGAGAGAGAGAGAAGAGAGAGGAGAGAGAGAGAGAGAGAGAGAGAGAGAGAGAGAGAGAAGAGAGAGAGAGAGAGCACGCGCAAAGACATGTAAGTAAACCCGGGGCGGGTAAATGTTTTACCAAAAAGTCATATATAGAAAGTATCGTGAGTATTAAGCGCATTTATGTAGCTGCAACTACTTTTTCTCTGCTCCACTCTGCTGTCATGACTGTGAGCATCGCGGGGCACGCTGAGACACACCAACATACAGCGCAAATGCACGCACGAACGCACACACACACGCACTGGAGCACCAGCCACCACGCGAACCTTTTTACTTTTAGTACGGACCAAGTCAGGAACACACGTGATCCGGTCAAACTGTGTCTGCTGCTAATTTAACAAAAGCAACATCATCTCACAGCAACTAAATTAAGGGAAAAACATATGTGCTATAAAATACAAAAAGTAATATTAAAATGTAGCCTAAAATAAGAGTTAAAAAAAAAGTATGTCGATATTGTATTATTTATTACGACTCACAGAACTGTCATTTATTACATCTGAAATTATTCTCTGTTTGTTGTGTGCGTATTAAATGCATTTGGAGGCTGTCGGTAAAGGTTACGGCTCACTATGTGAACTGGTAGATCTCGGCAGACTGGCAACTTTAAAAGTAGATCTTGGTTCAAAAAAGGTTGGGCACCCCTGGCCAAAGGGGTAGTTATCACATTATGCAGAGTATACACAGTTCAAGAAAGTTAGAAAAAATCCGTCTCAATATGATGCGCTACAAACAGGGACAAAGTGTCTTCACCTCCTTGTCTGGGTCGGGAACTTTCTTGCAGTCTTCTGACCATGGCCTCCTTCTTCTCAAAGCTCGGCGTTTTGTCTTCACTGTCTTCATCATCAGTGGCCTTTACAAAAAAGAGGAATTAAAAGGTTTTAAAGAACCCTTACCAATGAAAGTGTACAGAAAATGGCTATTGCATAAAGAGAAAGCCAACAGTCATAAAGACCATTTCAATCACCATAAACAAACTCCATATGGTAATCTGTATTCAAAGCACGCAGTTCACCCTGTTCAACAGCAGTCTTTATGACCCGTTAGTCTGTCTTTTTATGCACTTTAAAAATCGTCAGTGTTTCTGACGGGATCCCAAACATGTGTACATTTGATGCCGATCTTTCAAAGTGTGAAGTTAGCATCAGTAATCTACCACAGATGATCTCCTCTTCTTGCTGGGTTGAAAATCAACATTGTCCTGAGAGCTGCTGGATCCAACTGCCTTTCTCTTCCTGCCTTGTTCTTGGTCTGAAAAGACAACACAGCCAAGGGGTGTTTTAAGAATTACTCAACTGGTGAAGAACAATATGTTCAACAGAGACATTTCTTGCAGTTTGAAACCATTTTGTTATTTTCACTACCTGAACACCAGATTCAGTAAAATCTTCTTTGTTGACGTTTTGACTTTGCTTAATTGGGCCCAGACTGACCTTTCCCATTGTTGTGTACATTTAACTTTTTCATCCTTAATATTTTAAATACACATACATAACAATGTAACATGAACTTTAACAAAGTGCTAAAAAAGTTATCATTTACCTTCTTTATCCCCAAACTGAAAAATACTGCCAGCCACAGCCCCTCCAAAGTGCTCGTGCTTTCTACGACCTGAAACCAAAACAGAAAAAGTTTCTTTGAAGAGCTCAGGTCAGGAGATTAAACGGGTTATATCAAAATTATAGATGGCTATCATGATCTGAAAAGTGCAATGCATCCGCTAAGTCTCAACTCACTTGAATTAACTCCGTCCTTGTGAGCTGAGGAAACATCTCCAGCAGTTTGTTTATTTTCTCCTCAATGTCGTGGTCTTCTTCATCGTTCATGTGTGATCAGATTCTGCATATTTGAGGATTTCTTATTGGCACTCCTAAAGAAGAAGCGTATATGACCGTAAACCACATGACAGCATGCATGTGGGAAAAAGTTTTTTTTTTTTAAAGTGACGTTATTTGAGGTGACACCTACATGGAATTACTGCTTTGTGATACTTTCTTTTTGCTTTTGGAAACGGTTCCTTCCTCCTCCAAATCAACAGAATTGACCTCTTCAAAAACCACTCCTCGGACATGGGCTTTGGTGGAGCTTTGACAGGTTTCATTTTAGCTGGAAAGAAAAAAAAAATTGAAATAAAAGTCATCATGTTATAACAGAATTTTAGCCTCTGGCTGCGGCGAAAAAAAAAATGCAGGTGTGACACATGGTTAGGGATGTGATCGTTTGACAAGACCCATCAGTGCATAATGTGTCATGTACTGATGTCAGAAGCCAATGTGCATCTTTTAATGGGCAGGAGACGACACTCGTTTGACAAACTGTGATTTGATTTCATGGTCAACGTGAAAGAAAACATAATCAGTGTGAGAGTCTGACACTATCTTTAAGAAAGATCAGTGACATGCAGGTTGTAAGACATGTTCCTGTGCAAAATGCATCCAATCACACAACTTATTTTAAACAAAAGACAGAAAGATATTATACATGACTGACATGTTGCCTGCTGTGATAGTATTATGTCACCATTCCTCCCTTTTGTGCAGGCTGATCATCATGTCCTGACATGTGAGCTCTCATTGTGTTGCTGTGGTTGAAATCTGCTTCAGGTCTTGGGGGAGATGTGCCACTGTCTCAAAAGCTTCCATTTCTGATATACCATCACATTGTTGTTATTGTAATTCTGACAACACGTTAATAAAAAAAAACCATGTCACTCTTCACCTGGCTTGTTCTCCTTCTCAGACTCTGGACTTTTGGAGCCGCTGTCCGCTTCTTTGTTTGTCGTCTTCGCTGC